CCCCCCCCCCCCCCCCCCCCTTACCATCCTTCACCTCTCTCACCCTTCCCCTCCTTCCGTCTGCGCCGCCCACCACCGACACCGATTTCCTGTAGGCATGACGAGCTGCAACATGTTGAATCCAGAAGCCGGACACTTGCGTCGACTTGTAGTTCAGTTTCGGTTGCAGTGTCCATACTAGGACAAGACTCTTTGTCTCTTCATCTAGCCGATGGCTTGTAAATGCTTCCAAGCACACTTGACACTTGCACACAGAACATACGGAGGTGCTGAGTCAGATGCTTCACGCGCCAGCCTCTCAGAATCGGTCAGGAATTGCTGACACAGTCTTTGGCTGGCAGAAATGAGGGTGCTTCGACTATCTGAGGCTGTGAAATTGCATCCAACAGTTGACAGCTACCTGCAGCGTTACTCCCTGAGGGGGGGGGGGTTGGTGATGCCGGGCTGCGGACTATAGTCCAGAAAACGGCTCATAGCACGCTTTCCATATGCCTCTTGAGCTGTCAGGCGCCAAGATTCGGTGTCCTGGACGCATCAAGAAAGGGTCTCCATGAGGCAGCATGGTGTGGCGAGATGGCGCGAGGTTGGAAGCAGGTCAGAATGCAGAAGCGATGCGGGATTGCACCGCGGCGCTGCGAAGAGACAGACGCGAGGCCCGCGGGGCCCGCGCGGCCCGGGTGTTCTCTGACGTGAGGAAGAACATGCGTTTGATGGTGTGCGCACAATCTTGAGCACGCCCCAGCTTATGCATGTCCTGCACGAGAAACTTCTTGTACAGTAGCTCTGCAGGGTTCTTCGTGCTCTCGGGGGAGCACAGCAAATGGAATCCCTTTTGGTAGGAGGCAAAAAATCTCAACATTGGGCTTGGTTCAGTTTAAGGGTGCCGATCACTTCTTTCAAGTTTCAGTGTGGTCGGGCCCGGCTTGGCCTCGGATGAGACGGGGCGGGTCCGCACCTTCTCCGAAGGATTGTTCGATGATACGCGCTGTCCAACTTATACCCATCGCTCTCGTAGCTATCACCCGCTCTAGGCTTGCAGCACAAGCTTTGTATTATCCTTCTCGAATTGTGGCACAACGTGCACTTTCCAATGAGCCATTACCCCATTTTCGTCTGTCTTCTGACTCACTGCGGCTTGTTGGTTTCAAATCCTCTTGAAAAGACACTCTTGAAAAGACGCCCCGGACGGGGAAGTTGCAAGCTGGGTCTGTGCCAGAGACGGGGTGAACAACAGACTAGTTACGTAATCAAGTGGCTGTGCATGGCATTGTGCGCCTTGCTTGAGTCTGAAGCACTGGCCATCTGGTCTGATGATACTGCAGAGTCGCCGTCTTGCTGGCAGGCTGATGCATGGTACTTGCGGGCGGTGGCCAGAAGCCGAACGGATCCTGCCGGAGCAGTGTCCGACCTGAGCCAGGCCACGCAGCGATCAGAGAGGGGAAGCAACACTTTGAAAACACTTGGAACACTTGGCTCCTTTTGTGGGGGTCGGGTTCTCTCTGTTACTGCGGAGGCAATCTCTTGCGATCCTCAAGAAGCCGAGGCCAGCTTGGCCACTTTCATGCCATGGCCGCTTGCCCGCTTGGAGCCCTGGAGCTTCTAGGCTGTGCGCTCTGCAGGCTTGGAAGCTCCGTGCCGAGATCCAGCTGCGCCGTGGCGGCTCACTTGCGTTGGAGCCCAGACGCGACGCAGTCGCTATCCTGGTGCAAGCAGGCAAGTATGAGGAGGTGGTTGCGGACAGCACCGAGGTTGGCCAAGAAAGCAGAAGAGCTAAGTTTTGAATGCGTTTCCACGAGTGATTGGATGTTGGAGGCAATGCGGCTCAACGGCGCCTCTGCCGAGATCTTGTCCGGGGCTTCGACGGAGCAGAGCGAGCAGCTGCAAAAACGAGTCTCTGCAGAGTCTCAGCTTCATTTTCTTTTTCGAGGTGCCTGCGTGGTCAAGCTCAGTATCGACGAGGAGCCTACCAAAGCAACTTGGCTGACATGCCCGCTTATGCACACCCCCACTGTTGTGAGCTGCGAACGGCTTGAGGTGCTGCAGCAGATTTCGAAGACGCCTTGCAAGATGACCCAGCCAGCAAGTGGCTGAGTGAGCGCATGTCAGTGCCTGCACCGTTGCAGATTCAGCGGTCGTTTCGAGTGGCGGATGCGAGGTGAGACTGCAGCGAAACTCTTGGAGCGTGCAAAGGAGCAGTGACCTCACTCTGCTGGCTGTACTGTCCGTATTCTCACAGTTTCGATGGCGCTCTGCAGGTCGCTGAAGAAGCTGGAAGCCTGGCAGTTGCCAGCCCTTGCAGGTGGCCTGCATTCCTTCATTGAATCAGTGCATACCGCGCAGCTGCTGTTGAAAGACTCGTCGCAATAGATGACAACTACAACAGTATAGAATGTGTTGCATGCATAGGTTTCAATCCGACAGGTACCCTCTCAGAATGGTTGAAAACTAACAACAACGATCTTTGATCCTCCGCCGGTCAGCGAAGCTGCGGCGGACCACCAAGTGTTCCTCTTGGACCTTGGATTTCCAGCCTGATTTAGAACGGAGGCGCCTGTTCGTTGGCTGGACTTGAGCTTTATGGCGCTGTCACAGTCGCACATCCCTAAAAGGGAACGTGTCGACAGTTGAAATGGCAAGGTGCTTCAGCGCAGATGGAAAAGTCTGCGCAGATCTGTTCTGTGCACTTCACGATTTCTGATGCGAATCCTTGAAACGGCCTTGCAGATGCTAGCAGTAGCATAAGGCAACTCGAATGCTCCTGCTGCTCAAGCTCGCATATACGGGAAGAGCAGATCGATTCCAAACATGCTCACTGGCGCGGCTTCGCCCGCTTTCGTGGCTTTCAGACCATCCGCGGCTTCAGGCAGGCGGCTCAGGCAGCAATACACCGGTTGAGACCACAGGCCCGGAGTCGAGGCTTCGCGTTTTCAGGCACCCAACGGACGGTTTCGACTCCTCCAGCTTCGCAGATTTCGCAGGCAAATCTGCCTGAAGATAGGAGTGAAATGCCAGCTCTGTGCATGCTGAGCCAACAGCCATTGCTGCATACTGCTGCAGGAAAGCTGGAGCCCCCTCGCACTAGCAGCACGAAATGTTGCCACAGGTTTGCCAGAGTAGCAGAGCTTGCGACTGGATGTGGTTGGAGCAGAGACCAGAAAAATGTCCTTGCGTGGCAGACAGGCAGTGGTTTGCTTTATGCAGCGTTTGCAGCACGATCTGGACGCAGAACCGCGAGGCTCCGGCCGACTCAGAATGGGGGCACAAAAATCTCCGTGCTCTGCAAGGCGAGCCGTCGACATGCCGGTCAAAGAGCCGCCTGTGACCACAACCGTGGCGATTCCGGGGGCCAAGGTTGAGGAGGCTGCCGGCAAGAGCAGTGGTGACCTTTTTTTGGATCCCTTCACCATTGTACAGTCGTCAGGAGACAAAGCAGAAACGAGCCGATGAATACCGCCTAGTGCTGTACAACGATCCCTTGAACAAGCGTGAGTTCGTTGCTAGGCCGGAGCCTTTCTGACTTTGCTGTATGCCGAGCTTCCATTTACATGATCGAAAGGTGCCTGATGACCATTTGCTTACTCAAAGAGGGGGATGCCTACCAGGTCATTGCATGTTTCAACTCAGTATGTGCAGCTCATGGGGCCAATGGTGCAGGTCATGATGAAAGCTCACAAGGAAGGAGTTGCCGTTGTAGGCACCTACTCCTTCGAAACTGCAGAGGTGGGTTGCGAGCCATCGTAGAAACTCCTGCCTGGTCCAGCCCCATGACAGGCATACTGCGATGGGCTGAAGTCTCAAGGTCTCAGTGTGGACATTTTCCCTGTCGACAAGGATGAATAGGCAAGGGCAAGGCCCTATGCTTGCATGAGTGCGATGGTGATGTACAAAGTGATCTTTTCCTCCATCCCCAGCTTGTCGCTGAGCCATCGCAAGAGCTTCAGGGATGGGGCTGCTTGAAGCCTTCTTCAGCTGGAATATTGAATATTTATTGCAGCAGCGGGGCTGAGGAGCTGCCATCCCGAAGCGTGTAGAGACTCTGGTAGGCCCCCTTGCGCTGGAGAAAAAGAACAAACAGGAACAAACTCAGCATGATCCGAAAGGCACTGGTGGCCTTGTGACTCGTGGTGGTTTTGCAGTTGGCTCGGTAAACAGCTCGTTGCACCATGCCTTGTTGCTGTTCCGCTCCTGCAACAACCTTCCAGGAATCTTGAGACTGCTGGGTTAGGGTGCTTTGTCAGTTCCGGCGCTGTCTGGTGTGACGTGCTAAGTCCGACTCATGTCTGACTCGGTTTTTGTAGCCACAAGATGCCAAAAGCTAGCCACCAGTATCTGCCTTCTTTCGCCGTTTGCAGCCGGTGTCGACTCCTTGCCAGCTAAGTCTGAACGCGATGTTGTCCTTTGCAACCATCTCGTTCGTTGCCGCCGCTTGCGTGGCGGGTTGGCTCAAATACGTTTTCGAGACCGAGCTGGTGCCGCTCATACTTGGCTGCCCTTGCCGCCACTTGCCGCGGCGCTGAGTGTGTGCGCGAGACCGCAACAGCCCCGTCGGAGACGGCGGCTGCGCAGGTGGCTGCGTGTCGCCTGCAGATCGGAGAAGCCACCGGAAGCCACAGCCTAGGTCTTTTGGCACTCAAGCAATGCCTGGGCAAAGCGGCCGGAGCCGGACCACGAGTACTACCGATGTCGTGGGCTTGGGCATGCCTGAGACTGGCCGCGTGGGCAGAAGCTTCCTGCGTCGCGGACACGCAACCAACGTGTTGCTGCCAGCTGACACCTGGTGCCCGGATGTTCACACAGGATCTTTTGTGCGTTGCGCATGGCTTGCTGCTATACCAAAAGAACCTGCCACTACACTCGCTCCCCACGAGATGTGGACTGCGGTGCCCTGATCGACTGGTTCGGCGACCAAGCGCTTGCATGTCCGCGGACGGGTTTCCTCGCTGGCCGAGCAGCCATCGTCGAACGAGTGGGTCCGCGCTGTGTGCGAAGCAGCTGGAGCTGCCGCGGCGATAGAATCTTCCACACCACTGCCCACACATACCGGTAGTAAGCCTGATGGTCCCAATGTCCTGGCACAAGGGCAACCCTTTCCTCGACCGTGGTTTACGCGGCTGGCACGTGGAGGTCGATTGCTTCACCGTCGGCCTCAACCAGGGAAAATGTCCAGTCTCCTTTCTGTTCTCCAGAAGTTTTTGTTTTCGCGAGACTGTTCTGTCCGGAACAGGCCTCGGGCAAACTCCGCTGGCTTTCTTCTCATTTTCGCTGCTTCCGCCCGTCCTCGGCTCCATTCACATCGGTGCTCACCGCAGGCTTGGCTGCCATCCCGCATGCTTCCAAGTTGCTCCGTGTGAGCTAAACCACGCTTGTTGCACGTCGGGTTCAATCATCTTCGCCGGGTCGTCGCGTGTGTCGCCTGTCCGACTCTTCAACTGGGTGCTCCGTATGTGGTTGATTTGATTACGTCCGGATCCGACTTCCGCTCCCTGATCTGCCGAAGTTTGACTGTGTTGCGATATGTTGCGTTCGCTGACTTGTGCGGATGCTTCTGCCGTCGGCTTCGGTGGCTTGGTCCGGCTGCCAGACTTTCAGAACACCTTCTGGCAACAGCTTTGTCCTCTCTTTGTTCCATTGGCTGCCGCCCGACTGCTTGGTTCACTTATGTTCAGTCTTTCATCGCGACCTGGGAGCTTGCAGCTCAAGGTGCGCTGCTGCTGCTGCTGCTGCGCCACCTTCGAGGGTGTTGGGCATCCCCCGTGCCATTGCATTTTCCGCTCCGATAAGTCCGCCTCGCAATCGGCGTCGTGGAAGTGGAAGGGGCTGTCTCTGGCCACCAGTTTGTGCCAAGTCCTTCGTGCTTTCTCTTCTCTACAAGAATAACCCAAGAATAAAGAAGGATTTCCGTCCATGTTGATCATGTTCCAGGTATTTCTAATGACATTGCCATTGCCCATGAAGGTAGCCGTGGTGCTACCCCCGTTGAGTTGGGCTTCAGCCCCACAGACCGCTTTGTTGTGGACTGGTCTTTGCTCTGCGGGCCACAGCCCCTCCGTCTGTTCCGGTGCTGTTTAGGCCTCGTAGCTGTCCGCTGCCCGCCGTTGCTTTTGCTTGTTGCTTTTGATGTGGTTCCCCGGTCCGGGTCAGAAGGATGTCCTTCAACGACCATGACACACAGTGAGATGTGAAAGCACACTCATGAGCATAATTCCAACAAGCGAGAACAAGCTAACAAACATCGACATTTCACAGACACTGCAAAAGCACGTCACTTAATTATTGCAAAGGTGCCAAATGCCACTGCCAGCCACAGAATGGATCTAGGATCCAAGTTGAAATTTCGATCGCCGACGCATCACGGCAGATGCGCAAGATGCCACGTGCTGTGCCGAAACAAACCGATGGTTGAACATATGTGCGGGAGAGCTCTACAAGAAAACATGGTGGCAAATGATATGCATGTGAAGCTATCCAAAATCGACGTACAGCAATCTTCCGTTCACCGCCTGCCAGGACATGATCGATGTGACGACTTGTGCGGCTCGATCATCCTTGGTCCGACCGCCAGGAAAAGATCAGACTTCGTCTGCATCCGTCTGCCCGAGGCTGTTGCGCAGACCTCCGGCCGTCGAGGCAACGGGAAAGGAGATTTCCTGTCCAAGTGTGCGCGTGTCTCCGCACTGGAGTTCCTCCTACATTGAAGGTTACTGAGTTTGATTAGGTGTGTTTGGGTTAGGATGCAGCGGCAACCGACCGTCCGCTGCAGCCACGGGCTTAGAGTTTCGGTCGGTTACATTTTGACTTGCCTCTTCGCCGCCTTGCGACAATGGATTAACCTGGCCAACTCGATCTGTCCGTCCCAGCAGTGCCATGGATTTTGGACCGTTTTTTTGTGCTACGCGCCTTCTTCGAGCTGCCGGACGAAAGGTGTGCTAACCGCGGTCGCAGCAAACTCGCGTACCCAAAAGACCACGGACTACATGGCAACCCCAAGCCAGGCCCGCAACGTCAAGCGGCTCTGGCCGGCGGGGCATCGAGGTGGAGCAAAGTGTCCAGCGGCGGCCCTTCGCTGGTTTACGACTGCCTCGGCGGCCTCCCAACGCTGCCGGCGATGGCCTGCTGCACCGCCACGTAGAACATGCCCCCCCATCGCTTTGCCCATCCGGCCCGACGTTGCTCCGCGGATGCTGGCCTTTCAGCCTGACCAGGTCCAAAAGAAATGTTGTTCGCAATTTCACGTTGGAAGCTGCGGAGGTGCAACGCAATGTTGACAAACTCAATGTCTGTGATGACCGGGCTCGAGAGCGCAACCTTTCTCGTAAAGCTTGGTGCGCCGTGCAATGAAGGAAAGCATGAGCCAAAGTGTTTGATTGACCGGCACGAATCCGATCAAAACCGACAAGGTCTGACGGCATTGTTCTGGTGGCGAGCATTTCGCCCGTCACAGAACAGGTGATGCGCACAGCGGGATATATAATCCCCAATGGGTCACACCCCGGCCCGCCGAACCAGTGAGCCGTCGCCCCGCCCACGATACCACCATGCACCTCAGGACAAAGGCGCACCGATGCGAGCAGGCGAAGCCGCGCCAACATTGTAGGCGAGTGGACGCCAAGGTTCGCACCGCTGCAGTCCCCACAAGACGAGCTGGCGCTGCCCTGGCCGCCGAACGTCACGTCCGGCCCACACGGTTCTCGTGGCTTTTCGTACCTTTGCTACATGCTGGCGCCGGCCATCTCATTCAGAATGCGGTTGAGGCCTTGCACGTGCGACCACGACTCGGAACCCGCGAAGCTTACGCGCGCTGCTGCGGAGTGCGAGTCACACGAAGCACTGCGCCAGCCCATGACATCGCGCGTGCCACGGAACAACTTTCCGCGCTTCCGGCGGAGGCCCCGTCCGCGGCAGCGCTGGTTTGCATAATGGCCGATGGCTATCTCACCGCTCCAGCTCCGTCCGCTGTGCTCGAGGATTATGCTGGCGGAACTCTCGCAGCACGGCAGAAATGCAAACATTAAAAGACGACGTGCTGGCGCTGCACTTTCACGCCGATGCCAAGCCGGGCAGACGACCAACATGCCCGTGGCCCTCCACGGCAGGGGCACAGGATGGTACAGGAAGAGGAGGGGCACTTGACGAGGTCGATCTCCAGACAGGGCTATGCGGCGCTATCCCGTGCCCGCGCTACAAGATGCGCCGCCTTTCCTGCGAGCCGCAGTTCGTGGTGCGCTGGTGAACGCGCTGACTCATTTGCGCTCGGTGCTTGTGGCAAGCCATGCAGGCAGAAGGCGTGGCCAGGGGCAGCCTAGAGACCCTTCTTACCGACCCCACGTATATACTGTTGCCACGCTCGGAACACCCGGACACGCCGCCCGATGGCGGATGCTCGCATTGGTGCTTTTTTGGCGGTGTGGCAAGTGCGGTCACAAACAGAACGTACGACGTTCGGATTCGCCACGAGCTTGCGCCTGCGCGGTCCATCTCGCCGCACATGTTGCTGGCGAGGCTGGTTTTCCGAACCCCCGACATGCCCATGGCGAACCCGATGCGCTTTGCGTGCCGGGCATGCCATGTTTCTGCACAACGCACTCCAGCATCCGGCTCTCAGAGCCGGGAAAAGGCTTCGCTGTATCCCCGCTCTTCCGAGCGGCTAGCTCGTGCTCCCGCCAACTGGGACGCAGCGCTCGGTCTGCTCAGACCTCCGGACTTCGCGTCGACGGGAAAAACGGAGATGTCCTGTCCGAGTGCTTGCGTGCTGCATCATGCCTCAGCACCCCTACCACAACCTTGGGTAACCGATTGCTCCGCCCTAACGGGGGAGGTTTGGGGCACAAGCCGCCATGTGA